TGTTTCCTTCTCCTTCTTCATCTAACATCCCATGATATCACCATGTGTTACTTAGCTCAATTCATGCTTGATTCACCATTCGGGTCATCTTTTGACTAATTACATTTTGATCCTCGGAGTTTCATATCCTTCCACTTTGGTCCTTTTGCATTCATTTTCTCATACTCTTCATTCCATCCATCAATGTAATCCTACAAACACACATTATATCGAATTAAGCCATATTTAACATATATATCAACAATTTTCCATATTTTGTGACCTAAATAAGTGTGCAAAACACACTTATCAAGTAAAATTAAAAGTATATTAGAATACCAGTGTATTTAAGTCCAAAAAATTAAATTAGTTTATTAATTCTAATTCTCTAGCAGGCAAGATGATATTTTCTCTTATATAACACGAAGTAATCGCACCTCTTCATTACATCTCTAAAATCTAAAATTTTGGTCGGTTAGAGTATTATCTCGAAGCGGAGCAAGATTGAAAGCATTCAGGGATCTTCTATTGCAAATAAAATCTTACGAATGCAATCGAAAAATTCGATAAAACAATATATATATATATAAATTAACTTACAATTTATCCGAATAAGTAATCAAAAATGATATGAGTTGATCAAGTTTTTAAAACAATTTTGGTCCCTCTAGTGCTCAAGGTTACGAGCAATTGTCTTCTAGGGTAGAAGGAATTTCGTTTCTACGAAGCAGGACCTTAATAACATATGAATCATCGAACAAAAGATTTTTTTACCTTTATAACGTTTAATGAAATTTTTATACAAAATGACAGATTTTATTTGAAGGAAAAATAGAGAGAGTAAATCAATTTGATTGTGTAAAAAATACTATGAGCTTGTTTGGTAGAGATTAAAATCGGATTAAAATTGAAAAATTGACCGTTATTGTTGATTTTTATTAGACGAGAGGGACCCCACAACGACTATATTTTCAATTTTAATTCCTTTCAAACAAGCTCTATATAAGATGTCACATATATATGACCTTTGGATGTGGCAATTCATCCAAAAGGCAAGACTATCCATAAAGGTATAACTTTTGAAGAAAGGATGGAATTGTTTCATGAAAAAGTGCAAATCAAGAAACAACACAACTTATGAGAGAAGGGATTCAACCATTGGTCTATTAAAGTTATATGTAATATTTAAATCATTAGGCATTGCTACCTGAAATCACATTTTTTTTTTTTGAGTTTTAGACCTTGATTGGGCTCCATTATTTTGATTATATATTTTTCTCTCTTCTTTTTAACAACACATTTTTCAATAAAATAATATTACTCAAATCGAATAATGTTATTTATCATTATAATGATGGAATATCGATGATGTGGCAACTTAGTTGGAATAATGAGACGGGACAGTTTAATCCCCCTTTCTCATGAAAATTGAATCGTCATATCCCATTATTCCACCTACATTGTCACATCACTGATGTTTCATCGTTATAATGATAAATAACATTACTCAAATCCAAAACATTTTCCTCTTTTTAACCACACATTTTTCAAAAAAAATTCTATTATAAAGTACACTTTCTCGTAAATCTAGATCTTGTCTGGAGGAGATTTTTGTAACCAAAAAAGTAATTTAGTAGCCGTTTTCTTCCACACTTTCTGCCCTATCAAGACACAGCTCAGTCAAACATTGTAGGCGGAATAGTGAAAGCAACGGTCTGAATTCTGCTGGCTAGCGCACCCAGACAAGGCCCTAATTATAATGGAGCTCAAACAGCAGCTTAATTAAAATCCAAACTCGTGAGTTAATAAGCCAATCATCCTTGTTCCCCGTTTCTTTCTTACTACTTTAATAAAACAAAATTTCTTCACAGATAACCTTTTTTTCAACAATTTCACAGAAAGTTGTTACTTTCCTAAAACCATAAATTTTNTTCTTACTCTCCTAAAACCATAAATTTTCATGTAACAGATTTTTTTTTTTTTTTTTTTGCGCTTACATTTTTTATGATGACATTTTTGACTGACACGTCAATCTCGCAGGTTACATTGCTTAACTTGGAGGAATTAAATATTGGTAAATTGGGTTGTACAGTAAAAATACTGTACGAGGAGAGGCAAATCAGATCTCTTCATAGACTAAAACAACTTTCAGTGGAACGTTTGGATGATGTGTCTGTATTGTTTGACTTTGAGGATCCAACGGTTAGTGAAGATCAAGTAGAAAGTGTACTTTGTCGATTAAACTCATTGAAGCTAGAAGGACTACCTAAATTAGCGCACATTACAAGGATGGTTCCTAAAAGGATGCGTATTTTCCAGAATTTGGCATCACTTCAAGTTTCGGCATGTGACAACTTAAGGTACTTGTTCTCACAATCTATCGGCAACTCGCTTGTGGCTCTAGAAAGTCTACGAATTCACAGTTGTGAAGCACTGGAAGGGATTATTAAAAGAGAGGATGGATCTTTGGCGGTTCAGCTCCCAAAACTGAAAGAACTCAAGCTTCTACAGCTGAAAAGTTTTAAGAGCTTCGAATCTGAACCAAACTCCGTTTTCAACCAGGTACGTGTATGTGCATGAGGTCGTATTAATTTTTTTCTAAAGGATGCTTAGTCCTTTCACTTGGAGTTCTTAAGTCTTAAGTAAAATTATATATATTGAAGTAAACAAAATTGGAGCCAGCTTTGAAAAGCCCCGAGAGCAAAAATATTAGGTCTGCCATTGTACATGAATAAATATGTATTATGACGGTTGGAGGAAAAACGAGTGATTTGTCTATAGTTAGATTATCAATTAACATAAAAAATATAATGGAACAATGACGTAAACAATAAGAGAGTTAGAAAACAAGCCTTAGGGATTCACATCAAGGACAATGTCCTGAACTTGTGTTACCTTCTCTTCGTGTGGGCAATTTCTACACTACAGGACTTCAAGATAAAATTTACACAACTTATGGTCGGTTCTCCTTCTATGGACACGACCACAAGGAGATAAAGAACGAGCCTTTATCAAGTTGTCAAAGTATAAGAATATAGCATTACATGTAGATGTTGTATTTTTCGAAGTTAATTTTGCGTGGTTATTTTTTTTTCAATGAAATATCACCTCCTTTTTTGTGTAAAATCAACCCCCACAATAAATAAATTTAATTCATTAAAATAGAAGTTTCAAAAAAAAAAATAGTGTTTTAATTTGTATTATAACTGCAAATTAAAACAAAAAACTGCAATATTAATTTTGAAAGTTTTAAGACTTTTATGTTACAATAATGACTGCATAAATCTGAACTAGATTGAATTATAGGGGCAGATATTTTTATCTGAAGTCATCCAAAGTAGGTCATAATGTTACAAAACTAGCTTGTTCAGTATGATGACAGTTAAAATTCATTCGCTTCGCGGTTTTAGAATCAAGAATCGGATGATTTTGCCTTCATAGGTTCTAGCTAAGAATTGAGTTATAGAATTATTTTTTTTATAATCATTGATCCCTTAATTAACTCATAATTTATGTTGATTTACATAAATTAATAAATATTAGGAATAATCAATAATTTTGTCTCTAAAATAGAAAGTGAAGAATTTTTTTTTTTTCATGCAATAGTTTATACTTTATGATCTATTTATTCTGAAACATAAAGCAACCGGACATGACTGAATAAGAGAAGTGTGGTACGTTCAGTTCTTTTTTATTTTTTTGGCCACAGAAGCAATGATTTCATTTTCACTATTCCAAATGTTCGATTTGATATTCAAGAAACTCGGACCAACCCACCTGGTGCCAATCTTTACTGAGTTCTCTAATTATAGGAGAATCAAAATTAACATACATCTTTCTTCATAAATCGTTTACTTAGACAAAGTTAACTAATCTTATTTTTTTACTTTAACACCTTTCTTTAGAATATTTTATGGTTCAATTCAACGACATACAATTAAATTGTGTCCTTGATTATAGTTACTGATTAAAGTAAGATAAATGCTTTGAGAGTTATACTAATTAGAGCATCTCCCATGCTTTTAGTGGATTGCTATAAAAATTACCATACAAGCAAGATAGATGTGATAAAGGAAAAACATATATTGTCTTAGCAGCGTGATTACCAGCAAACCCCCATAAATTAGTGTACACTTTAGGATTCTAGTGATTTTGTGAACTCTTTTAATCTCACATTAATCACAAAATGGCATCTCAATCATACAATCTTTACTAAATACACATTTATTATTGAGGAGATTAAGCCCCTTATTACTCGCATGTGCAAATCTGTTGTGTCACATGAAAAAATGTATCACAATCAAGAATCCACTAATACAAATGGAATTTCACCATCACATTTAATTTAGTAAATTCATCTACAGGATTTATCCACACATATATACTTCACAAGGATCAGAATTAGAAGTCATGTTTGCCTTATCTCTCACTTTTTTCCTTTTGTCTGTTCTCTTATTTGTATCAATCTTTTATAAAATGTAGTTTTACCACAATCATAACATTTCTTACCCTTAGCTCTATCTTCGACCTAGATCTTCTTCTACCCGTCTTTTTACCACCGTTGCTACTTGACTGACCATTTTTTGAGTATCTTAATTCCTACCATGCCTATATTGAGACCTATCTCATTATGTGGACTTTTTCTTTCTCGTCTTGCAGCTTTTAATTTCATTTCATCACTTCTTAAGAATTAGTGACAATCTCGGTTATTAAAATGGACCTATCACACTTCATTGCACTTTCAACTTTTAAGAAAGTCTCAAGAATAACATTTAGCAATATTATGGCCTTATACTCTTTTTACAATTTTCGCTACAATTTGTAATATCTGGAACAAATTTGTTTAAAATATCCATATTGCCATCCAAGTCCTTGGAAGAATTTGTTTTAAAGATGAAAAATCTTTCAAATAAAAAAAGGAGCAGATTTTAACGAATAAAGATCCTTCATTTTGTTTCGAAAATGCTTGTATGGGATCAAGTTTTTTCTCAAAACAACATCAAGTTTAAAATAATAGAAGTATAGGTCAAATCATCAGATTTCTTTCTTTCATAATCTATTAAGCTCCAAGAGAAGTGCCATCAACAACTTTTGCTATTGGGATATGTTATGTGTACATAATAAATGTACATAAGGGTGTCCATAACCCTCACATGGGGTGGTGGACACCCTTATGTACAGGTCAGGGGTGGGTCCACCCCATGTGAGGGTTATGGACACCCTTATTTACATTTATTATGTACACCAAAAATTTTTCTTTGCTACTTTTTGTTGTACAGTACAAGTATACCCCTTATTTTTGTTGCCAGATGAAAAATTCTAATTTTCCATTAAAGATCCCCAAATCAAAGTTGTGACTTGTCATTTTTAGTGATTTAATTTCACCAACACAGCACAATACACAGAACCACTTCTGAAGAAATGCAAAATGCAAATTACTTGTCAATTTGTGACACAAAGAACACAAACAAGTACTGCAAGATATTAAGATGCAAAGAAATTGTTATTTCTTAGGTCACCTTATATGCACTGTCCTATTACCCACAGGATTTCTTATGAATCATGTTCTCAGGTCAAAGAAGAAAAAAATCAGGTCAGGTCCAGGTCAATACTAACAGGAAAATATTATATACTACAACAATATACCAACAACAGGTTTAGAGCACAGTATACCAACTTCACCCAGAAATTTAAGCACTAACTTCAACAAATTCCACAAAACAATTATGCACAAGAGCAAAGAAGACTGCAACCAACTCAAATAATAATCACACAGTATTAATTTTGAGTATGAGAGTTCGAGAACGCAAACCGAGGAGGCCAAGAGTGAGAGAGAGATTTGAGAGATCCGACTTACCAAGAAAATTAGGGCAACCAAGTGTAGTATATATAGTAAAAAGAGGATGGTTTTAGCCATAAACGAACGTATTCTTCTTCTTTCACGATCTTAATAATGATATGTTTTACATCATTAAGACCAATCTTAAACTTACCGTTGAACCCAATTGAACAGAAAACTTTACGAATCTTTAATAATGGTGGTATTCTACATGCATGAATTCACTAACTATCACGAACTTGAATAGAATGGATCATACCTGCACAAGTGCTCTTATGAAACAGCTGAATGCCCCTCATGTGACAGAGGAGGCTTATTATGAATAATAGCGGTGGAATTTTGTGAAACAATTGGAGATTTCAATGTGAGTCCAATGGCACTGGGGTGGATTTGTTGATGTTGGCAGATTTTTTTCTTTTTCTTTTTTTTTTGGTGGTGATCGGTGGTTGGACACTTGGCGTTAGATGGAGGATTCCTTAGTCTTCTTGTTTACATTGTAAAATGATTGAAAATACGTTCTTAGTCACCTAAAACCATCTATATCCAAATAATTATATTTTCCATATAATGTAATACATGATAATTTCTTGCAGCCTACATTGCCCAACTTGGAGGAGTTTAATATTGGTGGATTGGACATTACCATAAAAATACTGTATGAGGCGAGACATATCAGATCTCTTCATAAACTAAGAAAACTATCGGTGGAACTTTTGGCTGATGTGCATATACTATTCGACTTTGATGGTCTAATGGTTACTGAAGATCGTGTGGAAAGTTTACTTGGTCGGTTAAACTCATTGAAAATGTTAAATCTACCTAAATTAGTGCACATCACAAAGAAGGTTCCTAAAGGGATTTGTGTCTTCAAGAATTTGACGTCGCTTGATGTTGGAAAATGTGGCAGCTTAAGGTACTTATTTTCACCTTCAATGGCCGATTCGCTTGTGGCTCTAGAAAGTCTAGAGGTTGTAGATTGTGAAGCAATTGAAGAGATTATTGGAAGAGGAGAAGAAGAAGAAGGAACTTCAGAGATTGAAATGGTCGAAGAAAGAATGATGAACAAAATTGTGTTTCCTAAATTGTATAGTCTACAACTCAAAAATCTTGAAAAATTCAGAATGCTTTCCTCTCAAAACTGTAAAATTGTGTTCCCTTCACTGGATAAATTGGAAATTCGACATTGCCCTGTGATGAAAAAATTTTGGTTACGACAGCTAAGTGCAGTGAAGCTCAATTACAAATTTATTTCCACAAAACCGGTTGATGAAGGTATATTTCTTCTCATTTCCCATTTTACAACATCTACTCTAATATATATGCAACAGTAATGATAAGAACAAATATTGACTTAGATATTTTTGCTGCAGAAAATGATGACAGCAAAGGAGTTGAGGATATCCTGGGTTCTGAAGCTGTAATGTCAATAGCTCATACTTTGTAATTTGGATTTGAATAGTATAAATAGAATATCAGAAAGTTGCGTAGGCTGTATTATTTAAGTTAAACAATGTAAAATCATCTAATATGGGATATGAAAGAAGCATTCAATACATTTCATTTCTAAATCCTATAACCTTCAATGGACAATTTGCTTGTGGCTCTAGAGAGTCTAGATATGTAGATTGTGAAGCAATTGAAGAGATTATTGGAGGAGGAGAATGCACTTCAAAGATTGAAATAGTCGAAGAAAGAATGATGAGCAAAATTGTGTTTCCTAAATTGTACAGTCTACAACTCCAAGTTCTCGAAAGATTCAGAATATTTAAATTGCGTTCCCTACACGGGAAAAATTGAAATTTTGAGATTGCCCTCAGATGACAATTTTGCTTACGACTGCTAAGTACACCAAAGCTCAGGTACCAATTCATTTCCAATTTCCTGGATGTTGAAGATATACTTATTCTTGATTCCCATTTTACATCATCTACTCTAATATATATGATATAATTGCCATTTATATTATTTATTTATGCTTGAATAATTGGAAAATTAATATGCTCCGGTTCTCAGGCAGTCAGAGGCTTGGGGGATGAGTATATTTGTAGCAGATAAATCCATTCAGCAATGGCACCTGAGCTGAATTATTATTGAGTGAGCCTCCATCAATTTTTACCTCTCTTTATTTCTAAGCTATGAATTATGTTGCCATGCATAAAATTAGAGATTGTTGTTAATTGTATAAAATTAAGGATTGTTTTTCGTTGTATAAAATGTCCACAAATAACAAATATGTAATGAACGAAAACATTTAGAGGAAAGCTTGAACAAAAAGAACATAAAGCTATGTGGCATACTGTGAGAAACCTAAAGCAAACCAGTGTTTGGAGGTCTTTGGACCACTCCGCCAACTCTCAAAAAGTCAAACCAAAAGAATAATATAAATAGAATAACATAAGAGTGTCTGTGCATCTATTAATAGAACACAATAAACTAAGAAGAAAGGCAAAAGTCGGGGAAGGAGCTCAGGAGAAAGAATAAGCATAGCATCAGGACTCCCTTAATCAGATCACACAAAGAAATGAACTTCCCAGAGACGTCATCCTTGATGCTGTTGAGGCAGTGCAAAGACGCTTACAATAAAAATAAGCTACAATTTAGAACAACGAATGCAAATTAACAGGTCTAAAATTAAAATATTTGCCTTGGGAAGCAGCAATATAATTTGCTCGACTCCATTGTGAAATGCAACCGAAGTATCTCACAGGCATGAAATGACCATCCTTAGCAGTGCCAGCTTAAACCACTAGAAACTGAGAATAGACTTTTAATTACTGCTTTCCAAGATATCCAACAGATATCCATGCTCACGTAAACGTTCGGTCAAAGAATCTAGTCCAGCATAAATAAAGTATTCTTCAGGATGAGCCCGGTCACCAGTAACAAACACATGCAAGCCATTGTTCAATTCAATCCAGCTGCAACCAGGTCTCTTACTAACATCTTGTTGCCTCATTGTATGTCTCACTTCCGCCAACTCTTCAAATCGACCAGCTGCTCCAAAAATATTTGATATCAAAACATAACTTCCACAATGCTCTGGTTCAAGCTCAAGTACCCTCTGTGCAGCAACCTCAGCCAAATTAGCATTCCCATGGAGCCGACATGCAGACAAGAATGCCCTCCACACTATTGGATTGACAGGAACTGTCATTTTGGACAACAACTGATAGGCCTCCTCAAGCTGCCCTGCCCGACCAAGCATGTCAATCACACAAGAATAATGTTCAATAGTTGGAATGACACCGTATTGAGGTTGCATTTGTGCAAGAAATTCTCTACCCTCGCTTACAAATCCTGCATGGCTGCAAGCTGACAAAACCCCTACAAATGAGACCTCATCAGGCTTCAACCCTGCCTCACACATACGAAAAAATAAATCTAGTGCCTTGTTGCCAAACCCATGCATGCCATAGCCCATAACCATAATGTTCCATGAAGCCACATCCCTACATCTCATTGAATCAAAAACTAAGTGGGCTTCCCTCATACTCCCACATTTTGCATACATATCCATAACAGCATTGTCAATGTATGTACCTCCGTCCTCTCCCAACCCATTAATAATCATGTACCCATGAATCTCCCTACCATGCATCAATGCAGCCAAATTTGAGCATGCAGGAAGTACAGCAGTAACACTCACCAAATCTGGCCAAACCCCAGCACGTAACATCCTCTTGAAAAGACTCAAAGTTCTCTCATGATCACCACATTGTTCATGGACGCTTATAATTGAGTTCCATGAATATAAATCCTTTTCAACTATGTCCTCAAAAATCTTCAATGCATTCATCTCAAGCCTGCATTTCCCATACATGTCAATTAACACATTTGAAACTGCAACACCAGAATCATACCCCAGTTTTATCACAAACCCATGAATTAACTTACCATTGTAAACATCCCCAGCTAGAGCCAAAGCTGATAAAACTCCTGTAATGGTAAATCTATTAGGAAATATCCTGAATTCACCCATCCTCCTAAAAATCTCCAAAGCATTATTGAACTCCCCAATCTGCGTATACCCATTGATCATAGCATTCCAAAGCACAACATCATATCTGTTAGGCAATTCCTCAAACACTTCTTGTGCCTCATTAATTAAATCAAACTTCAAGTAGCAATGCACTAATGCACTGCCTATGAACAAATCAAATTCTAACCCAAGTTTAAACAACAAACCATGAATCCTTTTCAAACTTACAGCATCTGGACAAGCCTTAATTGCACAAGGGAAAGTAAACTTATCAGGTTCTATACCAATTAGCTGCATTTTACAATAAAACTCAAAAGCCTCATTTGCCATGTCATTAGCAGTAAAACCTGCAATAATTGCGTTATAAACAAACACGTTGTGAATGCGAATTGATGCATGAAAAACCCATAAAGCATCAGCAATGGAGTTACTCTTGGAGTACATATTGATAAGGCTAGTTGCAGAAACAGGAGACTCAAGATGCCCATTAACAATCATGTGGGAGTGAAGTTTTCTGCCTTCTGAAAGGTCCTGTCTTTGGGCACATGATTGTAGTGATGCAATGCAAGATGGGAGGTCCACGGGCAGGGTGCGAATTTGTGTTGGCTTGGACGAGAACTTAAGGAAACTTTGGTAATTTGTTCTGAACAACTGCGCCGGATAGATGGTTCTGTGCATTAAATTGAAATTGAATTGAACATAACAGAGCAGAACATCCTATACACATTCAGGCAAATTTGGAGTGGTAGCCAACACACATGAGGCCAAATGATATTTTCTTGCCCACAAATGTTTTCAGTAGTAGAAAAGTAAATGCCCCGCACGAAAATGAATATTGCCGGAGATTCTTGTGAAGCAGTGGCGCGCTGCAGCTGCTAGACGCTAGAGAAGGAGATGCTTCTTTTTCCCTTCTCACTTTTTTTTTTCCTTCAGACCTGTTTGGTCACATTATTTTTTTCACTCTCATTCTTATACTCATTGTCAACCACATATTCTTCAATAAAATAATATTTTACATCATATCAATAACTTTTCCTTTTTTTTCAACCACATATTCCCCATCATATCAACTGTAAAAATGCATTTTTACCTTCAAAATGTGTACCAAACGAGGCTTAATAGATTTTTCTCTTTTTACTAATTTAAGTTGAGGGCAAAAATGTAATTTCACTTGGCTAAATAAGTCAAGGATTGTGAGAATAATGTGTACAATTTAGGCCTTGTTTGAAAATAATGTGTGCAATTTAGGCCTTGTTTGAACCACATTTTTTTTAGAATGAGAATAAAAAATATAGTCATAATTAGGGCCACACGAGAGATAAAAATTTTGAATTTAAGTGTTGATGTGATGAATAACGGTCATATTTTTCATTTTAATGAGAAAATAAAGTGACCAAACATGGGCTTATTTATTTATTTATACGTATGTTCGAATATCCTTTTTTATCAAAAACTTTGACAACTTTTCAAACCATCAAATTTTATCTCGATGTCATAACGTGAAAATGGAAAAGGCCTTGCTAACGTCAATCTAGAAGATCAACTTATGCTCATTAAAATCTCGCCACTTAACAATGTCCAAGAAACATTTATATATTTCAAGAATTCAAATGTAATGATCATAAGATACTATTTTTAATTTACGTTCTTGATTGCCCGGCTAAATTAGTCAAAAGGTTGTGTCAACAATGTGTGCAATTTAAATTTTTTATTTTTATTTTTTACCTATCTTTGAATATCATTTTTTTTTTTTCGATATACAAAACTTTGTCAACTTTTCAAACAATCAAATTTTATCTCCATGTCATAATATGAAAATAGAAAAGACATTGCCAATGCCAATCTAGAAGATCAACTTATGATCATCGTGATATCGCCACTTAATAATTGCAAGACAAGTAAAAGTTATATATTTCAAGGATTTGAGTGTAATGGTCATAAGATACTATTTTTGTATTTATGTTCTTAATTTGAAAATTCCAACAAAAATTCTTAACTAAACCTTATTGAGAATATCAAAACTGAAACCAGTTACTATAAATCCATACAATAGTTCTAGCATTGCTTCATCCTCAAACCCACAAATACAAAATACGATGTCAAAATCATATACAAAACTCTCCGCTGTGTGTGTGTGGGGGGGGGGGGGGGGGGTTGTTTTCTTCACTGTCCTTTTTTGTTTTTCTAATTTTCTAGTCATTTATATGGGGTTCTAAAAAAAAAAAGCTTAAGAACTGCAGGTTATAATATAACTGGGCTTTAGATAAAGAATTTTGTATGTATTGTAAGTTCTTGTATGACTGATTAGTATTACGTACAAGTTTAAAATTAGCCCCAAATGGAAATCGTTTTATTATTTTTATTTCTTTAATCTTGGTTCTGTATTTCTAAATTATTCCTTCAGAAGAAAAGAACAAGATATGGCTAGCTAGCTTAACAAGTTCTTGTATGGTTGATATAAATGAAAGGGTACTTGCTGGTTGATACTTGTCTTCTAATTTTGCTGGAAATTGGGATCAGTATCACCATTTGTTTCATAACTAGAAAAGAAC